CCCCAAAACCCCAAAACCCCAAAACCCCAAAACCCCAATACTCAAATCTTACCATTAAATTTATTCAGGATGAGCTACATAAGAGTCCTTTCAATTCAGTCTTTGATTGCTTCGAAGGTGACCATCATCAAGGCATTATTTAGCACAGTTTGGAGTATCTTTGCATAAATACCTCTGTATAATGCGAAGACTCCTTCCTCTTTTAAAAAGTGTCCTAAGACTTGGAGAGTAGAACCTTTACCTTTATTAGTAAACTCTTTAGTTTTCAGGGTAAGTAATGGATATGTAAAGAGAGTTGCAGTCAATTTTGCAATTAAACTTATTAGAAAAATGATTCTCATTCAAAGTACTTGAGAGTCCTCAGTGATTCAGAGAAATCTTAGCTTCTCATATATCGCAAAATTAATTACTGGATTTAGTACTAAGATTTGACCGGTGAGAAATCCTTTCCAAAGCCCAGTCAGACCATCTTCATTAATAGAGTCGCGTACATGCTGATAAACAGATTTCTTCTCTTTAGTAACACACATTATTGTCTGTATTCTCCAAATTGGGCTAGTGAGAGCATTAGTAATTAATGCTGCCAAGGCGGTAATTACAATAATTTTTGATGAATCCAGAGTTTGAGGATAAGGTGCCAAGGCCAGCTTCCAAAACTTATACCAGAAAAAGTAAATAGCAAAGGTGACCACAGATCCCCAACAAGTAATCCCTAATCCTGAATAAAATGCTTTGAGACCCTCATGCTTCCAAACATCATAGCAAAACCTTAGAGCACTGAATTCCTTCCTTATGTTATCCTTCCCTTTCTCTCTATGACCAAAATTAGCGACGATGCATACGTTTTACTTGTTTATCTTCAATTGCATGACTACAAAAATTTAAATGTAAAAATTCCTGCTGAATTCAAATTTCCAGCTCTTTTGCTTTCAAAACTGGGCTTCATTTAGAAACCTCTCTTGCTCTTCTAATAAAGATAGCTTTGAGCGGTGGTTAAACCTGGCTCCAAATGAGTCATGCATGAGGTTTAGTATTGCTAAATACTTTTATACATATTTTATACACAGAGAAAATTAAGAAGTTATACTTAGGTGAAGTTTATGCTATAAACCTCGTTGTGAGGTGTGATTTTGAAATAATGTATTTTGTCAACATGTATTATAGCTTATAAAAATGTACTCATATCTGGAATCAAACCTGACTGGATTGGTAAATACTAAGGACAGCATTTAGAGCTCAGAAAAAATTCAACAAAGAAGTTCTGAAGATCCAGAGCAAAATTATAAGAAAGAAGATAGCATATGGCCATGAAATTTATGAAAAATAAAGAGTGAAGATAAATATTTTTAAATTGAGAAGTTTTAATCAACTCTTAATTAGAATCCTTGGAGATAATTGCATTATTATTTAGTACACAAGACAATATTTATAACATCCCTTAAATACTTCTGCTATTATTATCTAACTCAAAAACAGTCTTTTAACATGAATTTCAATTGCATAAAGAGCCAAACCATCACCATATTAACTGTACTAAGCCACTTTCTCTAAACCTGAATAGCCGAACCTTCCAGCTTAAAGGTAGAAATTTAGGCATTTTTGGGGAAAATGTTTTGATTTTTGGGGGTTTTGAGTGGTAAAAGGGATTAGTGGGGTATGGGGAGGGAGAAGAGGGGTGGGGAGGGGAGTGAGGGGAAGTGAGGGTTTAAGGGGATGGGATAGGGGATTGAGGGGGATGGAGGGGTATGGGATTTTAGAAGTTAGGGAGGTTGGGGTATGGGAAGGAGAGTCAATTGATTAGTATGATGGAATTGGGTCTGGTAAGTTGTTTAAAATGTAGGGTTACTTTTGATTTTGTTCGGAGCTATAATTTTGAAGTCTTGCTCTTATGTTTTCCAGGGGGTAGAACAGCAAATTTGAGATTAATGCTGCTATTCCACCAGCTAGTCCATCCACAGCCATTTCCCTTAGATAGATTATCAAGTTTATCATGAAAGCCTGGACTTGTAATTGAAATACCATTTATATAATTCAATTGTTTAAGTCTTATTTGGGGTTTTGGGGTTTTGGGGTTTTGGGGTTTTGGGGTTTTGGGG